CTCAATTAGCAATGGTTATTTTCATTCTTTTGTCGATACGATATATTCCAGTGAGCTACGATGTATTATCAATTAACAATAGTTACTTCCTTTCTTATGTCGATTCGATATATCACAGTGAACATGAAATAAACGACACCACAGAGTCTGACACATCTGTTTCATATTTGGCTATTTACTAGAAAAAGACGTTAATGGTAAACTAACAAAAAAGCTTTATGATAAACGTGATGACTTCGACTCTAATATCATCAACTTCCCTTCACAAAACCTTTCATGAAAAAATTACAGATATAGAGTGTTTGTTGTCAATTTTGTAAATATATTCTCTGAATATTTCAAAGTAATATTAATAGGATTTTTTTTTAGATACAGCAGGGTTTTTCAGTCAAATTACAAGTTTAATTTAAATTACTTTTTATAATAACATTATGACAATAGATACGATTTTTTTTTTATTTTTGCCCAAAAAATTGATAACGATTGAATAGCTTGATAGGGCTTTTGGGGGAGTGCGATAATGAAAAAGTTGAAGATAATGAGCAGAGATCGATATATATATATATATATATATATATATATATATATATATATATATATATATATATATATATATATATATATATATATGTGTGTGTGTGTGTGTGTGTGTGTGTGTGTGTGTGTGTGTGTGAACAGTGCATTAAATACGGACCCCTGGGAATTCCAGAGGTGGAATAAGGTGCCTAGGAGGAGAAAGTATCCCCTGTTGGGAAAATATGCCGTCCTTACCTTAATAAAACCTCTCTGCTAAGCTTTAGTTTCTTATAGTATTAAAGTCTTTTCTATATTAAATGAAAGTTTTACTATAAAAAGTATTTTACCATGAAAATTCGAATTAATTGTTACATTTTATCTTCACCGATTCTTACATGCATTTTACTTTGAAGTCATCATTTCGCAAGTTCTATGGTCGATACAATGACCTTGTCAGCAAATACAACCTATCACTAAGTCAAATGCTGACTGACTTTTTTTATAATAATTGTTAGGCCATTATTTACATGGTGAATTATCTACGGATTTTTCATGACAAGGAGCACACGGTGGGTGTTACCGGTCGGCAAGGGTTGTTTACTCCTTCATGTGACCTGAATCCACCACTGATGTTTTTGGAGGTCCGCGTTTTGCGCTGCTCCCGGTTTGTATTGTTTAAATGGACTTTGAGCTTGAATACTGTTTGTTATCTCCATATTTCATTATATAAAGAGGGCTGGATGGTCGTGGCCATTTTTAGAATATTCAAACTTTCGGAAAATAGGAAAGTTCTACTTAAAAAAAAATAGGACATGGATTAAATTTGATATATTTTATTACTATTATTATATACGGCGTTTTTTTTTTTTTTTTTTTTTTGTTTTTTTTTTTGTAAATTTTGATCTATGGATAGAAATTTATATTTCATAATTTTCGACGGATCTTTTGGGTTTAATTTGTGGACACACCCAGAATCCTTAAAAGGGCTTAATACTTGTTATTATTATTATTCTCAATATTCATCATTGTTATGTAATGTGAGAAGTATTAAGACTCTAAATCTAGAGTTAAGCTTCATAGTAAATCAAGGTTTCAAAGTATCAATTATAGTTAACTTTATTAATTAAACTAAAGTTGGTTTAATTTTTGTAAGGGTATTGTCAAATGCATATTTCTAAACATGGATCTGAGTTGTTGAAGCATTAAGGAAACTGGGTTCTTAGACAAGACAAGAATGCAATTAATCAGTAACAAACTACAGGATACACGGAAGGTACAAAAGTTTAAAAACTACATTTCAAAAATCAAATTCCAAAAGATAAATGATTCCCTTATATTGATTTGACCTAAGCCAAAAAATTAGCTACGTCAGTCTCCTCTACTAGATAAACTGGTGGTTCATCAGTTAAAATGAATAACTTATTTTCCTTAAAATATGAAAGCTTGATATACCCAGTACATAAATTAACTACACGGCCTTTCATAACCGTGTTCATCTCTTCTTCATTAAATAAGTGTTGAGGTGATGTAACAATGATATAAGGCCGAAAGCAAAATTTGATAAATAGAAAATATACTTTTCACCTAGTAATGATTTGTTTCTAGTAAGATTTTCATCAAAACAAATATGTACACAGACAACAAAATGGACAACATAACTTAAAACTTACAACTTGTAATTTTGTTGTGCAGTCCCTTAGAGTTGTCAGCATTAAGCATTATTAAAAGAGAATTTGCTCCTTAAATATGTTACTCTCATATAAATGTCTCAAGGTCAACAGTGAAACTCAGTTGAAATAATAACAAATAGTCATATGATATAACGTTACAGTCGTGACCATTGGTCATCGGGAACTGCTCCATCTTTAATCATTAATGAGGCATATAATTGGTGCGTACCTAGAATGCTAAAAAGTACTCATGATCTAGGTATTACAATTATAATTAGGAAAAAATCTATATACACGATTTTATGAATGCTTTTATGAAAAATTATCTGTATCTGAAGTATTCATCATTGCACGGTATCATTATTTGCACGGAAATGTTCGAAAAGCATTAATTTGAAAGATGTACATTTTATTGAGAATATAACTTCGTCATAAAAATATACACATACGATTAAAAAAAACTTTTATTATAATAAAATATATACTCCATTCCTACGATACCGGTGGTTCTACGGTACCGGGGTATCCCTTTATCTATAAATTCACTCGCTTTAGGCGACACCTAGCGGCCAGATATTTTTAGAAAAAGATTGGTGATACCTCGTTGTCATTACTATTGCTTTAGATCATAAAATGTTGCAAAGTCTGGTAAGTTATCAAAAGTTACATTGGATGGACACATTTTTAAACTCTACCTGTAACAGTCCTCATACCCTGCATTGTAAAAATGTAACAAACGGTCAATTTATAGGCGCATTTTACAACTGATTGGCAAATTTGTTGCCGTCTGGTTTAGGGGTCATATGTCATGTGACCACTGTGGAAAAGTTATGTATGGAACGCAGTTTCAGCAAGATTTATTTAACCCAATGAAAGAGTTAAAAAATATTTTAAATTAGATGACTGCAGATAAGCATGAAGATTTTTTTTTTAACCTGACTTATTCTCCAATTACATTTTCATTATTTGTTATCTGATGAAAAAAATAATTATTTTCTGTTTTAAGGGTGCAGGAAAAAAAATCAAAAGAATTAAAAATAAAAATACAATAGAAAAAGTCTGAAAATTCAAAAAGGCACATAATGCTACTTTTAAAGGAGTGTCAAGCAACAAATGAAAATTCAGCATCAAGAGCTTTACCTCCAAGTTCAAACAAAAATTCCAAGATTATGGAGCAAATACTAAATGACAATAGATAAGTAACATTAAAAATAATATCCAAAAGTGAAATGGGGTGCAATTTGTATTGATTATGGTGAAATTTAACATTTGGAAATTGGAAATTATGATGATGTGTATGTAGACTGTGTGAGCCAAAAGAGCCAAGAATGATTACTTTTTGTTAAATTGGAAAAGAGTTATTGTGTGGACATTTACCCCATTTACTACTCTGCTGTTAAGTAAAGGATATGAAAGAATGAGGTTCTTTTCAGTGTTTCATAATTATGAAAAAAAAAATCAGTTTCTTGAATTTGTGAAATAAAGTATTTCACAAATGATTTTTTTTATCAGAATATTGTTTTTCCTCTTAACTTTCTGAAAAAAATGCACTTCAAAGATAATTAATCTCAAAATGATTAACATTTTAAATAACTTAATTTGTTCACTGAATTTTATTACAAAATTTTGCTTAATTGTAACGCCGGTAGAGCACCATACATATACACCGGTATCAGAGTAACGTCCCTTGACACTAGCAACTTACGCGCGGTATAGTCACACCTCCCAACCTTATCAATATTCAGGGTCATGAACCCAAGGGAGCATTCATTGCAACAGATAATTATTTCCACAAAGAGAGACAACTCAAGAATTTTTAATGGTATAGTCAATTTCTTTTATCAATTTAGATACATCAAGTCTGAAATTTGAAAAGTGTAATTAATTGTTAAAAAAAAAGAAGAAGAAATTATTATGGTTTCACATCCTTTATTTAATTAACCAGGATCACATCCAATCAATGTTTATGTTGAGTTAGTATAAATATAACAACACAGTCTGTCTAATTTCACAATAAATGAATGTGCAACTTGATTTCCATTTAATAAATATCCTGATTTTCAAGTATACAGTATTTGATTTCACATGTACCTGGTAGATGTAAATATTTCTGGAAGGTATCTACCTACAAAATTACATTCAGTTAATATTTGGTTAAAGTTAAATTATTTAACAAAAAATGTACATACAGGTATGTACAAAATTTATAACTCAGGACTCGTGTATAAAAAAAATGGCAATGTGAACAAACATCATGTATCCATCTTTATTTACAAGAAATGAACTCCTACAGGTAGACAGACAATGGAATGTTGTACGACAAATGAAGTTGTAAATTACAGAGCATATGTTATAATAAAAATTAAATTGTTTAACTATGAAAAAAAAATTTAAAAAAAAATATTTAGATATCCTTCACAAGCTCCCTAAATTTTAAACAACTTATAATAAAAAGAACTAAATACATGTACATGTACCTACTGAATTCTAGTTTTTTTCCCTTCATATTTAAACAGATTCAAGTTCCATTTTTTAAAATGATAAATCTAAATAAAAGCCACTGAAAGATTAACATTGTGTTTCTTTCATTTACTGATAATCTGTTTTGAAATACATGTGTAATTAAAATATGTAATACATGTATATTAGACATGCAGTACCAGTGAGAGCTTGTTATAACCCCCCTCCTTTTTTCAAACATATTCTACTACTGTTTTATAATTAAATAAAATATGAAGATGCTAGTTTTATGTTACATAATATTTTGTAAACTATGGACTCTCGAGCTCTGAATAGGCAAATTCTTCCTTTCTTAGGAAGGGATCCTCAAATGATGTTTGGACAGTTAGTAAGAATAGAAAAGATTCATCCCAATCCTCAGGAATTCAGCAATCATTTCTTACATTGCCTGGAAAATATAAATGCAATAATATATAAGATTGCTTTATTTATAATGCATCATCCATTAATTTGAATCAGTATAATACAGTCAAACCTTATTATCTTGAACTCAATGGGAACAATGAAAAACTTTGAGATATTCAAGGGGTTGAGAGCTTGAGAGTAAGATACAAAGAAGAAAAATGTGGTTCAAGGGACTTCAAAATGACTTTGACATCTCCATAGTGATCAAGATATCACTCAGTGTTCGAGATACCAAAGTTTAACCCTAAACTGAGTATATATAAAAAAATCATACTATCATATCAATAACAGCATGCCCCTTTGTTAGATCAAGCATGCTTAAGTTTCACATGTTGAACACCATATTTCTCATTGACTGGATGTTAAATTTCAATGAAATGAATACTACTTTGCATATGAAATAGAGAATCCAGCAATAAACTGATAATACTGAGCAGTTGCACCGAATGATTGTTTACAATGACAGCATATGTAATAAGCAACAACACATGGTCAGTCAAAACCATTGTTGGCTTCTCTGTTCATGTGCAAAATAGTATTTATTATCATTGAAATTAAATGTCCAATCAATGAAAAATATGGTGGTCAACATGTGAAACTGCATGCTTTATCAAACAAAGTGACATGCTGTTATTGGAATAGTAGTATATGCCATATATGGATGCAAAATCAATTTATTATTATACAGTTAAAGTATATCATTGAGGGAGTCAGCAAGATTCCAGTTCCCCAAGGCCAGCACTACTTCCCAAGGCGAAGCCGAGGGAAATAGTCCTGGTCGAGGGGAACTGGAATTTTGCTAACTCCCTCAATGATATACTTTTAACTGTTTTATTATACCGATACAAACGTAAAATTTAGAGGATTCAGATAGCATGATTTCAAAGCAGGGATATCAATTAGCTTACTGAACTAACACATGAGGATAAGTCCATTCACATATCATACCAATGTTAAAGTAAAACCTAGAGGATTACGGATAGCCGGGAATTAGCTTTCGAAGCAGAGATTAGCTCACTTGACTAACACATGGGGATTAGTCCATTCTTAACGATTTCTAGGGAAATAGTCACATCTAACGATCTAATGTTCTATAGGGAAAAAATCAGTAGAGGTATGATAATGTTCATCAACAATATGCATGAGAAAAAGATTTGTACAAAATGAACCAATTAAATATAAATAAATCATATGCATTTCCAATGCAAGTGTTAGCAAATCATTTATCTAGGTAATACTGATGAATGTCAACATACCCCAGGTAGTCGACATTGTTTGATTTTAAGATACTGAAGTTTAGCTGTATATAATTAGACGGCACTATATTCAAATGTTTCTCAACAACACATATTTTTCACATGTGTTGTAATGATAAGAGTTAAGCCCCTTTTCTATGCCCCAAAATATTGTTTTCCTTTCTCTGATATTTGTAGATATTTTAACCACATACAGTTTGTGAGCTCTGTTGATGATTTATAACCAGCTATTTTAAGTTGCAACTAGTTTGATGTTTAAAGATTAATTGATAGACAGAAAGATAAAAAAACAAAATTAAGTCTCCTTAAAATTGAAAATAAAATTATGAAAACTTATTTTAGCCCCCTCTTACCCTAAGATCCATGAAATGAATAAAAAGGATTTTCCAATATTTACATAAGATCCCCCCTCCTTAAATATTTACAGATAAATATTTTACCCCTAATTATGGCCTATCCTTAACCCTAGATTATGGGATTCCTTACTAAGATGAATTTATTCATGCATAATAATATGATTTATGGTGGGCCTGACTTTAAAAAGGTTTTTACCCTAAATATTTCAGAATAAAACTTTGATCCCCACTGTAGCCCTACACTACCCACAGGGAATATGGTTCGAACAAATCTGAATCTGCTCTGCACTATCTCAGAGGATGCTAGCAAGATAATATGAGTATAATGACTTATCATGACCTGTCTGTTCTTGACAAGAATTAAGACTTTAACAAGAGGCCCAGGCCCATGGGTTCACCTGAGGACATCGGCTAGAAAAAAAGCACAAATCAGTTCAGTATTGACAAGTTTACTTGGTGGGAGGGGGAAATTTTATACTACTTGAGGATGCCTCAATATCCATATAGCATATAACTTTGCTGTTCTTGAGAAGAAGATTTTTAAAGATTTTTTAAAGACTTTTTTTCCAATATACTACTTTTTAAAACTTGATCCCCCATTTTGGCCCCTCGCTAACCCCTGGGGTCATGTTTTAAAAAAATTCGAATCTTCACTACATGAGGGTGCTTACATGTCAATATGAATAAACATAGTTTTTCTGTTCTTGAGAAAAAGATTTTTTCCTCCATTTTCATATGTAAAACTTTGATCCCCCATTGTGGACCCACCTTACCTCTGGGGGTCATGATTTGAACAAAATTGAATCTACACTACCTGAGGATGCTTCCATATGAAAATCGCCAATCATGGCTTTGCTGTTCTTGAGAAGAAGATTTTTAAAGATTTTTCTATGTAAAATTTGATTGGCCATTATGACCCCACCTTATTCCCAAGGGTCATGATTTGAACAAACTTGAATCTACACTACCTAAGAATGCTTCCATTTAAATATCACCAATCATGGCTTTACTGTTCATAAGAAGATGCTTTTTAAGAATTTTTCCTATATATTTCTATGCAAAACTTTGATTGGCTATTATGGACCCACCCTACCCCTGGGGGTCATGATTTGAACAAATCTGAATCTACACTACCTAAGGATGCTTCCATATAAATATCACCAATCATGGCTTTACTGTTCTTGAGAAGAAGATTTTTTAAAGAATTTTTCCTATATGTTTCTATGCAAAACTTTGATTGGCTATTATGGACCCACCCTACCCCTGGGGGTCATGATTTGAACAAATCTGAATCTACACTACCTAAGGATGCTTCCATATAAATATCACCAATCATGGCTTTACTGTTCTTGAGAAGAAGATTTTTTAAAGAATTTTTCCTATATATTTCTATGCAAAACTTTGATTGGCTATTATGGACCCACCCTACCCCTGGGGGTCATGATTTGAACAAATCTGAATCTACACTACCTAAGGATGCTTCCATATAAATATCACCAATCATGGCTTTACTGTTCTTGAGAAGAAGATTTTTTAAAGAATTTTTCCTATATATTTCTATGCAAAACTTTGATTTGCTATTATGGACCCACCCTACATCTGGGGGTCATGATTTGAACAAATCTGAATCTACACTACCTAAGGATGCTTCCATATAAATATCACCAATCATGGCTTTACTGTTCTTGAGAAGAAGATTTTTTAAAGAATTTTTCCTATATATTTCTATGTAAAACTTTGATTGGCTATTATGGCCCCACCCTACCCCTGGGGATTTGAACAAACCTGAATCTATATTTTGTCAAGAAGCTTTCACTTAAATTATTTTTTTTTCTAGCCCTCCGGTTCTTGAGAAGAAGATTTTTAAATACAGCCAATTTTCACTATTTCTTAGTTATCTCCCCTTGAAAGAGGGTGTGGCCCTTCATTTGAACAAAGTTGAATCCCCTTTACCCAAGGATAATCTGTGCCAAGTTTGTTTGAAATTGGCCCAGTGGTTCTTGAGAAGAAGATGAAAATGTGAAAAGTTTACAATGACAACAACGACAGACAACGGACAAATTTTGATCAGAAAAGCTACCTTGAGCTACCAGGACTTGAGACAATCTTAGCAAAATCAGGTATATAGCTATATTATAATAGGGGAGCCCTTTTATACTATATACCCGATTTTGCTAAGATTGTCTCAAGTCCCTATGCCTTGAGCCTTTGACTCAGTTGAGCTAAAAAAATGTTTCATTTTGTTTTTTTCTGACTGGCAAAATTACAATTGTTCTTTCTATTTAATTGCTATAATCTATTTACATCAATAACATATCATCACCACTTATAAACATACCTTCTCTTTGGACCTAACCTCCTTTCTTATTTTCATGATTGATGCTTGCATCAGATAAATTGTTCTGTTACAGCTGAAATACAAATATGAATAATAAATTAATACAATCCTCTTAACTTAATTAGTACAAATAAAATATATATATATGCATGTATTTGCAGTTAGATCGCAAAGAGAACTGCATGAATGAACAATACTGACAAATTGCATTGCACTACTTGCAAATCATACAAATATGTAAATCATTTTAAGTGTGCAGAATATGCTGATTCATGTATTGTATTGGTATAATTTGCAGTTCAAAAAAATTGTTTGCATAAATATACAGCCAAGTGTGTTTTACTTTTTTTTTTTTTCTTTTTTTTTTTAAATCTCATTTAATGGTAAATTTCTCTGCATATAAATTCACTGTAATGCAGCATGATGTGATTAACCTTTGTGCGTTTTTTGACCCATTCTGTATTACCGAGGTATCTGCTGAAAAAGAAAAAAAAACAGAATGTGAATAAATCATTTGAACAAAGTAAAAAAAGTAACGGATGCATGATTTTCAATTATCAAAAGCCCTCCCTCTCTCTATCTCTCTGTCTGACAAATTATCCACAGTTTTTTTTTTTCATAGATACACATGTATAACAGATATTGGTGCAACTGAGCAAAATTAAAATATCCTATCTTTGTTTCATCCAATCAGGCATGATAATAACTAAATACATGTAATAAATGTTACATATAAAATGTTATAAAATTATCCTTACAATGCTCACAATAGGCAAATCTTGAACTTTCACGTCATCGCTGTCTTCAGAATATCCTGCAAGATACATACTTTCCAAATAATAATTTGATTAGATTTATTTATTTTTATATTTGGGACTGAGGAACACTTGATCAGGGGTTTCAACCCCAATTTAGGCTCACTGAGAGTCTTAAATTTTGTAATATATGTTATTATATGTTATTTTTGTAAACTGATGGGCTGTATTGCCCAAAGTTATATCCTGAATAAACTAATATTATTTTTAGAATGAAATTCTCATTTATAATTTATGTGCATTACAGCACCATGCACATGGAAGTTCATTTTCAAATTCAATCAACATGTCATTCTTAAAAAGTCAAAAAAAGATAAATCTGTAAAGCCCATTTAATTTTTTTTTAATGAAATAAAATTATTTTCTTGTGTGTGTAATTTGTGTGGGATCATTACTGGTGCAGATGGACATATCATTAAAAAAAAAAAAAAAAAAAAAACAAAAACAAAAAAAAACATACAAAAAAAGCACAGATTTTTGCAAAAGCCAACTTATTGAATTATAGTAAGTTACAAATTTACAGTGAAGGGCTCGAAATAATTAATGGCCCACTGGACTGGGGCCAATGAATTTTTAATTTAGGCTAGTACATTGTGAGGGTACGTGTCCATTGGGTCATTGTTTATTATGTATACATGTAACAAAATTCATTTATGGTTGCGCTAGTAACTAAACTTGCCAGGCAAAGTTCTGTCTTTTCTTGTTTTGTTAAGTTAAACTTCTAAGTATCGCAATATAAACGAAAAATATATCACTATTATTTTTTTATGGTTTTGGGCCAGTCTTTTTAAAATCTACTGGTTCAGTGGGACAGTCGAAGTACTGAGTTTACCAGGAAAAAATTTAAGGTGATAGCCCTATAGTGACCAGTGAAAGAAAATAATTATTTTTAGCCCTGAAATGATGTCTCATTTTTATGCTACATAATATAGATTTTCTAAATTTAATAATTTTTTTTCCTTTATGACTTTATATTATTAATTGTGTGCTTTTTTTTCATACCGCTTTATGGAGAAGGCTGTTCAACATGTACTTAAACCTGAAATAGACAAAGCAAAAAAAAAATAGTTACTTTTAATATTAACATATAACAATATATTTACAATATGTAAATTATATATATATATATATCTCAAACAAAAATGCAAAACATCACTGTAAATTATGTTTACATTGACAGAGGTCTTAAATAAATTATTTCAATATTACAGATTGATGCCTGCAATGTTACTGTATAATATTTATACCATTTCATTCGTTAGTTTTGGATGGACAATATTCTTATAAGAAAAAAATCAACTAACTTAAAGTACATTGTATTCATAAGTTGAAAGTGGTAAACATGCAAGAAATGTTCCAAGATATCATAAACTGCATATGTAAAGTTTGGGTGTAAATTAATATTCATGTCTGTATAGTCTGATATATGTGAGAACTGCATGACATCATCTGATCATGAATTCTGTGATAAATAAGAGAAGTAGCAAACATTTTTATCATTAGGTTCTATTGAAAACAGCATAATTGGTATAAATAACTGACAATATTAAAAGTGCAAAATGTAAACAAATGTAAACACCTATACATATATAGAGGAAATTCGGCAGAGCTTGTGTGCATGTACATGTACTATGATATGAATAGAATTAAATCTTAGTCTCTTTGATGTTGAAAAAGAGACACAAGGTTCTCACCGATCACTGGGCAATCTCTGAATACACATAGCTTGTTTAGGAACGGACTATAGCACACCTACATGTTCTCTTCAATTCAAAACATGCTTTTACAGCATTTTACAAACTTGCCCTTAAATATTTAGCCATTTTGTGCTACAGGTAATCGAAAAAATAAATCGACTTCTACTTACGAGTGCTTTTGTTTCCTAAACCAGTGTATGTGTGTGAATCTTTACCGACACAACTACTCCCTTGCACGTGGAAAAATGTTTACAAAATCGAGAGGTGCTGTTTTGACACTTTCATGTACAATAGCACGTGGCAGAATGAGAAACTTCATACATACTTTCACTTTTCATGTAAAGAAACGTTTGTTTTTCAACTTTATGCAATTTAAAAACCTTGTAAATCGAGAAAACATAAAGTTTTGCCTCTTTTTTCAAGTTGAATATTTCTCTCGATTTTCACCTCTCGCGTGTTGGTCTCATCTAATTCTCGAGAGTTCTCGCAATGAAAGCTGTTCGGACGTTTACGGATTTTGTTCATATTTTATGACGTTTATCTCCGAAAAGTTCCGATTTATGCAAATAAGGTTAGGAGGTGTGATAGTTTTCATGTGTATTTCAAGATTTAGTGAGTAAACAAAACCATTTCAAGCCGATACATTATTGAAACACATGTTTTATTGTTGATGAGTGACATTTATTGTTTACAATTCTAGGTATTTAGTTTTGTTTTCAACCTTCATCAATAAGTACACCGGTACCGTAGAACCCCGGCATATAATATGCAATATAATTATTGCCATCACATACATGCATACAATAGAATTATTTTCTGATGTAAAAGATGAAGATAATGAACAGTGATCACATAAATTCAGTAAAGGATACCAATCGTGAACAGGGCAAAAACACGGACAACTGGAAACGTTAAACATGTAATCAGGTACCTAGGAGGAGTAAGCATCCCATGTTGATCGGTCACAACCTCCGTGAGCCTCATGCATTGATCAGGTACCTAGGAGGAGTAAGCATCCCCCTGGTGATCGGTCACAACCTCTGTAAGCCTCATGCATTGATCAGGTACCTAGGAGGAGTAAGCATCCTCTGTTGATCGGTCACAACCTCCGTAAGCCTCATGCATTGATCAGGTAGAGGGAGTAATCGGCTGTCAAATTATGCATGAAAGCAAAAACCTAACAAATGATATCAAACATATCAGGCAATAGACCACCCAAAAATAGGATGTGTATACAAACTCAGTCCTTATAATGACCCTAGTTTTTGCGTAAAGCTGACTTTTAATGGAGTTCTTGAAATACTTATAACATCAAGTTCTTTGTCAGGAGCATGCCTTGTCTCAAACATTGATTGTACTTAGAGCACGCTCTTGAATAGTGAATCAGTAAAAGGACAAAAACACCATGTTCGGTGGTTGATGTTCGAATTAACTACATGATTTAAGGAAAATGACGATGGAAAAGGTCATCCGTTTTCCATACAGTTTAGTTATTTGTTTTTATTTGTTATAGTCTAGAATCAGTAAAAATCCTTACTCCCGAAAAAATATTAACTACTGTAAAGGAGAAACCTCAGTTGCTGTGCTAAAGCATATACTAAAAGTAGTGTAAATCAAATTGTAGATTCTCAAAAACTCCAAAGAACTTTTAGAAAATATAAGAGGACTGGGCGGGCGGGGGGGGGGGGGGGGAGTTCGCAGCCATTGTAGAGCGATATCATTTCTACTCAAAAAAGTCTTTAAAGTCTTGTAACTCTTCCCTAGTCCTGGAAGAGTTAATGTTCTTTAAAAGAACTCCTCACACAAATAAGGTAATAATAGTCCATTAAAAACAATTGTCAAGATAAACTGTCAGAAATGTCAAGACAAGAACGAAAGATTTATAAGTAAAAAAAAAAGGAAGACAAAGGATTTATCCGTTTCGGTAAACAACAATAACAGCGGCAGCAGTGATTGTTTATCTATTTACTGTCTGATGTGCAAGTACTGCAAAATCATGCATACTCATACAAAGAGAAAACACGTGTCCAAGTATACCGAGGTTCTCAGTGTTTGTCATTTGTACTGTTGTTTAAAACCAATACAGTTTACCAGTCTTTTCCTTTGTATTTTATCAATTATAAATATGACTGAGTGGACAAAATGACTTCTTAAATGAGATATTCATGCTAGACAATTTGCCTGAATATTATATAATTTTTTCCATAATAAATACACAGTATAGGACCCAGGGACCTTATTAATTGATATTATTTATTCCATGTAAAGAACTTAACTTATCCTAGAGTCCCTGGGCATATTACTTTACTAGAGATTGATATTATGATAAAATGTTGTTAAATATTTTGACATTGTTAATTATGAAATATGAATTCAAACTCAAATTTTGAAACTGATAAATATATTAGTAGTTACATGTGCATATAAATCATGTATAACAACTTCAGATCGAACACAGGGCAAAACGCTGTGGTCGGGGTCAACATTCAACAGGGTCAATTTTCAACGCGTTTATGTCTTAAGTGCCGAAAAAAATGAATTACTAAGATGTTGAAAGATGACCCCGGGTATGAATTTCACGACGTTTGATCTCAATTTTCAATTCAGCTTTAAAAAATGAACTCCTGGTCAATTTTCAACCCGGATCAATATTCTACGTTACAACGGCACAAATTTTAATGCAAAAGATTCGCATTTCAACAAATTATGTCTCTTCAGTGATGTTCATGCTGAAACGTCAAAAATCCGAAATATTTAAATAAAAAAGACTTTGAAGAGCTGGAAAAGGGGTACTAAAGACTGGAGCAAAATACGTGGAAGGATCAGAGCTATGTATGAGGGAGATAATCCTTAATTTTGAAATAAATTTCTAAATTTTACCGCAGTAATGCAATAAATTACCGTATTTTCAAGCTAGTACCGAAGTTCTTAGATAATAGGCTGTAGAGACGCTCGGAGTAACAGTCCACCAGCAGAGGCCTCGACCCAGGGGTCATAATGTAAATCTTACCAATTTACAAATCTGTACCAATTTTGATGCACCACATGCACATTTCGACAAATTATTTCTCTTCAGTGATGCCCATGCCGAAATGTTGAAAATTCGAAAAAATGAAGAGCTGAAAAAAGGAACATTTTAGCTCACCTGAGCCGAAGGCTCAATTGATCATTTCTGATCAAAGAGTGTCCGGCGTCCGTCTGTCGTTTGTAAACATTTTTTCACATTTTCGACTTATTCTCAAGAACCAATGGGTCAATTTCAATCAAACGTGCCACAAAGCATTCTTGGGTGAAGGGGATTTAAGTTTGTTCACAGGAAGTGCCGCGCCTTCTTTCAAGGGGAGATAATTAAGAATTCGTGAAAATTTGGTGGCATTTTTAAAAAATTTTCTTCTTAAGAACCACTTGGCAAGAAAAGATGAAACTTACCTGAAAGCTTCATTGCATGCTGTAGATTCCAATTTGTCCATATCATAACCCCCGGGGTAGGACGGGGCCACAACAGGGGGTCAAAGTTTTACATAGGAATATATAAGAAATATCTTTAAAAATCTCCTTTTCAAGAACAGCTAAGCCATTATTAGACATATTAATACCTCAGGTATCCTCAGGTAGTGTAGATTCAAGTTTGTTTATTTCATGACCCCTGGGGGTAGGGCGGGTCCACAACAGTGGGTCAAGGTTTACATATAAACATAGGTTTAATGGTTAAGGGGCATTGGAGTTTGTTTGTTTGTTTGTATGTTGTTTAACGTCCCTCTCGAGAATTTTTCACTCATATGGAGACGCCACCACTTGCCGGTGGAGAGCTGCAAATTTTGTCCTATACTCGGCACTTACGGCCATTGAGCAGTGAGGGATCTTTTTCGTGCCAGCACCTACTGCGACACGGGACCTCGGTTTTATACGGTCTCATCCGAAGGACCGGTCTCCACGTCCCACAGTGGGATTCGAACCCGCGACGTAAGGATCAACTCCTTACTTCGCGACTCTAGAGCAGACGCTCTAACCACTGCGCCACGCGGGCGACGGGCATTGGAGTAAAACGCATTGAAGGCTTCAAATAGTAGAATGACCTGACAACCCTTGGAATGGACTAGTCTAAGGGTATATAATGCAAAGCTTTGGGAAAGTCAATGTAGCTGAAGAAGTTGGATGATGATCAGCAATAAACAAGTTAAGTTATTCTATCCTAATAGCAAAAGATTCAATGAAATTGAATACATAACACATGTGTAGGTGTTGAATACTCAGTATATAATTATTTAGATATAAATCCCATTTATTACTATTACCATGTAAGGCTTGGATGTGTCCTAATTTATGACCTTGAATTTTGGTAAGAGTTATCTCC